GATCCATAACATCTGTCTGCGATCCCGCTGTCATGGTATTTCAGCCTGAAGAAGCAAAGAAGAGATGAAGAAAGCAAATTCTCCTCTTCCTACAGACATGGGAGGCACAGGCCACACTTGACTATCATTCTGTTGGCCTGAACTTGGTGACATAACCCCATTCAGACAGCAGGGAAATGTAGTCCTTTTTCTGGGTGGCCATTCGCCCTTCCAAAAATTAAGGACTCTATCACTGAGATGTGGGAGAGAACAAATAGTGGGGGTAAAGCTAGCGGATCTGGCCACAGTGCTCCCCCACCCCAACAATACTTCAAGCCCAGTCCCTCCTTATCATCCATCCACTGACTGCTTACTTAGCTGGTCCACTATCATTCTCCAATCCAATATTTCTAACACCAGACTTGTCTATCTCCTTTGACTTCCTCCCACCGTAAAATTCCCAGTATAAACTAGTTTTCCACGACAAATTTTCCAGGCACAAAGTAGAGAAATTCAAAATTCATTGTGGAACAACTGAGTTCCATTAGATGCCTCCTTATTTCTGGCCTTGCGTTTTGCTATCTCTCAAACCCAGCCCTTCCTTTCTATCCCATTATCAGTCCCTGGTTCATGACCAGATAGCTCTAATAGTCAGCTAAAGGGTCTCTCTAGCCGGGCTTCTCTATTTTTGTTTTCCTTGCATCATTATTATATTATGATGACCTTAAAACATTATTCTAATCTTTATCCTCAAAAAACTTTAATAGTTTCCTCTGCCTCTAAGATGGACCTCAGACTCAAGGCTGTGCCTAATTTGTCTCTCCAGCCTTACCTCTCTCTGCTGCGTTATGCAAATCTCTACTCAGTCAACTGACATCAAAAGTTCTGCTTCTAAACTTTTATTCTGAAGCTGTGAACCTGAGATTCCCTTCCTTTCTCTTCCATCTAATAAAATTCTATTTTCCCTTGTCAAGTTCTACTGCCTCTAGAAGTTTCTTTAACCAGTACGGCTCAACATGACCTCTCCCTTTGAATTCCTACTGAAAGTACCTGTCTATTCTCTTTGTTTGAATTTATCACTTGCCATCTTATAGTGTTAATGACAGTTACAAACATGACTGTTATAAACATAACATGTGTCTTATTTGCCTAACAAGATATTAAACTCCAAAGAACCTGTCTTTGTCATAGATTAGCATCTTACATTTTATGTTAAGTCCTCAAGACATTTTTGTGAGTGGGAGCAATACTAGGGATGGAACCCAGGGCCTTGCCCATGCTGGGTAACTGCTCTCCCACTGAGCTACATCCCACTCCTCTCTCAAGACATTACTGTACCATGGGTTCTCTCTGAAATTGAGTTTTGCTAAGATGCCTTCCAGGAATCATGTAATATTTGAATTCCTTTAGCACATAGAAAAAGAAATATTGAAATTGATTGATATGGAGATTCTCTTTTAAAACCTGAAACATTTTAAGAGCAAAATGAATTCCACCAAGAGTATCTAAAAACTGGGTGACACATGCCTGTAATCCCAGGAGTTTGGGGAAGTGAAACAGGACATTCACAAATTCAAAGCCAGCTTGGGCAATTTAGCAAGAGTCTATTTCAAAATAAAAAGGGTTGGGGATTATTTCAGGGGTGGAGCGTCCCTGAATATAATCCCCAGTACCAAAAAAGAAAAAAGAGTACCTAAAAACCACCCCTCCTTTACTTGAATTATTCCTTAAAAATGTCTTTTAAAGGAGACAGCCATGGTGGTGCATGCCTGTAATACCAGCAACTCAGGAGGCTGAGGCAGGAGGATCACAAATTGGAGGCCAGCCTTAGCAACTTAGTGAGACTTATCTCAAAATAAAAACTAGAAAGGACTGGGGATGTAGCTCAGTGCTATAGTGCTTCTAGGTTAAAAAAAAAGAAGAAGACTTTAAAAGGGCTCCTATGTCCTTGGCATCACCAAGGATGCCATAGGGATGGCCTATGGAAGCTGTAAAGGGCATATACAATTGATCCTTACCAATCCCCCAAATAACTAATGCCGGTTTTGCCTTGATGGTTAACAAAGCATGTTATCATTGGCTGCTAAGCAGATAGTGGCCAATATAGTTATTACTTTCACGCTGGCTAACGAAATACACTCAGAAATGTTTTGTCACTTTATTAGGGTCACCCGGTTCATAAATAGAAGTACTGGCACCTACATCTTCTGCCTTCCTGTCTTTCCACTACACGGTTTTTCAGCTACTTAGAGCACAATTGGGAACGTTTAAAGGTGGCAGAACCTTTATCCTATGACTGTGGACGCTTTGCCTTTTCTCACCAAGCAGGGAGTTGGCATCAACAACACCAGAAGCACAAAGAGTAGCAGGACTTCCTCCGGCTTGGTCTCCCCTCCACCCCCGCTGCCTGATTGCCCTTTGATAACCCAGCATCACTTCCTGAATGACTTGCTATGGAGAGCAGGCGCACTCTTCAAACTGTACCACCCACCCATCACTTGTGGCTTCCCAACTGCCCTAATAACAAGAAGCTCTCAGTCTTAGCAAAGTGCCTCCCCAGTGCTAGGGTTTAAGAACCCACAAGAACTACAAGTCTCAGGTCTTGTTCACTTCATTTGACCTAACTCAAATCCAGAGTGGAATGACGGTTAGACACTTGGGCCTAATTTTTATAAAACCTTGAGACATGGAAGATGCAGGAGCAAGATTGGCTCTGAAATTCACGGGACCTAAGGCAAAGTGAAAACATGGGGCCCTTTGGAATCGCTGCGATGAACCAAGTTCAGGGTCTTTCTAGGCTCAGCTGCACAGATCCCATGCCGATAACTGGGACATCCAAGAATTCAGGCTGGGACACTCAAGTGCCCCACTACCAGACCTCATCAGCCCAGTAGAACAGTTTACCTGGAGAGAGTTCAGGTTCAAAGATTTTGGCAAAATATGACTGCAATTTACCGAAGGCAGCATTAGCCGAAATTTCTGTCCCCTCAATGATTTGTTCCTATTGCTGTTTCTGTTTGGCACTCACCATTGTATTTTTTCATTGTTAGTCTTTGAGCTTCAAGCCCCTTAGGGCTGCAGTGATAGTCTGTTTACCCTGTGGTTCTAACTCAGCATCTGGCACATGGTTTAGCACTTAATAAATCTTTGAAAATAAATGTCTTTACTCCCCCCCACATTTGTCTCCTCTCCCATCTCAGGGCCTGGTAACATCTCCTCTGGGCTTAGCCTGCTTGTTCCAACTAACACAGCAGACCTTGCCTGGGATATTTCTCCTTAGGGAGGATCCCCCTTGATGTGAAAGGACAGAGGTTTCTATGAGCAGCCCTGGGGCTTTTGCAGTACTTACTGAGCTGAAGACAAGGGGAACTAACCATAGTGACTTTGCACCAACAGGTTAAGAAAGCCCTTTATTTCTGTGACACTCCCAAGTGACTTGTATTCTCAATAGCCCTTATTCTTACCCTCTCTATGCCAAGACCTATATGAATTTTAGGGTCAGCGTGAACCTGCACATGGGGGAAACACATCCTGGCCTTCGAAACTTACATATAAGAAGTACACATCAGAACAGCCCAAATAGCTGTTTGGGATTGACACCCTTTCTGGTTGGGCTGTGACTGTCCAATCAGTTTGGAAGTAATTTGAGGGCTTGGGGGTATAGCTCGGGGGAAAGTACACTTGTCTAGCATGCACCAGGCCTTGCACCACAAAAATAAATGATTCCCAGCACCACAAAAAAAATTTTTTTAAAACAACCTCAGAGAATAACATCATAATAAAAGGTGAGAAAATAATACCTTGTAATTATATTGCCTCTAATTTTACAGTTACGTATCCAATCAATTTATCTTCACAAGGTGATGGAGGAGAGAAGAAAAGGAAATTAAATTTTTCACTTTTCCCACATTACATTTAAGGGTAGATACCCTTTGGCTTTTACTAGGAAGTGTTCCCTGGTTTCCCAAGATAGATCAAGCCCCTTACTCTTCTCCTTCAAAGCATATCATTGCATATTTTTTATCTGTCTCTTTGTGTGGTTATCTGATCAACATTGGTAAGTGAAGCAGGCACCGTATCTCTTCTCACTCACCATTCTATACCCAGCTCCTTGTATCATGCTTAAGGAGTAAATGCCCAAAAAACATTTGTATCATAAATCAAATTAATAAGTATCTGCCAAAGTGTCTGAAACAAAACTGACCCTGAATAAGGACATGCATTCATTCATAAAAGGATGAATGAAGAAGTGATCTTTGCTTACTTCACAAGTTGGTCCAAGAAAGTCTAAACAACACATGAATGAGTTCTGGTGTCAAACTCATTCCACAATTATTTTCTAAGCAACCCCCTTATGTGTCAGGTATTCTTCTAGAGAATGAGGATATAGAAGTGAACCAAAAAGACGCCTCAAGAAAAATCATCAACTAGGGGAATAATTTCTCCAGAGCCTCTGAAGCACTCTCCAGAGGCTCTGTCACAGAAATAAAGGGCTTTCTTAACCAGATGGTGCAAAGTCACTATGGTTACCCTTATCTTCTGCCTATATCTTCCATGAAGAGAAGCAAAACATGTAACCTGGTTTTTTACAAATACCACAGTAAAAGAAAAAGCAGTGACCCAAGAGTCCATCAGCCCAGATATTCTAGATCTTGTCCCAAGCTCTTCCACTACTTGGCAATATGATCTTGAGAAAGAAGTACACTTGGTATCTTGGACCTCAGGGAGGTTTGTGATCTTCATCTCTCAAATTGCCTTCTAACTTTCAGAAAGTGTACACAAGGTAAATATGTTTTAATAAAGCAGGTCTCTACAAATTCACTGAGAAACTAAATTTTAAGTGAGACTCCTTTAGAAAATATAGTTGTCATACCATTAAATATACCACAATAAAGTGCTAAAGATAATGTCAAGAAACGGGTTGAGCTGTATCCGCGGAAGCTCCTCAGATTATAGGCTGAGAAGACAAGGAACTGGATGGTGCCCAGAGTCAGATGTTACAGTTTTCTGTTTGTCCTCAGGGCTGAAAGCAGCTGGAAATGATGCAGCCTTGATTGTGGTGAATGGAATTCTGGGGGAGTCGGCTACTTTTCCCTTAAATATTCAAGAATCAGAGCAACTCTCCAGCATTGCGTGGACTTCTAAAACATCTGTTGCTTTTATGACACCAGGAGACCCAGGAACAGCACCCACAGTTGTCACGACCCACAGAAATTATTATGAACGAATAGAAGTCACAGATCAGAACTACAACCTGATCATTAATGATCTGAGGATGGAAGATGCAGGAGTCTACCTAGCAGACATCAACACAAAGAACTTTCCCTACACCACCACCAAACGCTACCACCTTCAGGTCTACCGTGAGTTGTGGGAGGAAGGAGGGCTGGGTTCCAACTTTCGTTTTGTTGTCTAAAGGACACCTGGTTGGACCTTGTGGTGCACTCCTGTCATCCCAGCTACTCTGGAGGCTGAGGCAGGAGGATCCCAAGTTCAAAGCCAGCCTGGGCAAGTTAGACCCAGTCTCAAAATAAAAAGGGCTGGGGATGGAGCTCAGTGGTAGAGCACTTGCTCAGCATGTGCAAAGTCCTGGGTTCAATTTCCAGTACTGTAAGTCATTGTCATCACAGCCATCACATGTAACTTCATGTAAACAAACACTACCACAAGCAAAATAGTTAAATGTGCCATCCTAGGATTCTCTTGTGCTTCATGGACAACCTATGACCTCCCTCTTTCTGTTCCTAAACTACTAACCCCTGGAGAGGGCTAATTTGCTCATATCTATAACCATGTTAGTCCACAGATGTTATGTAGATGGACTCCTGCAATGTGAATATATCCTTCTGAGACTTGTTTTTCATTTGGCATAATTTCTTTGAGATTTACCCAAACTATTGAATGTATCAATCCCATGGAGCAAGCACAGTAGTTCATTTAACCCTTCACCTGCCAAAGGACATTTTAATTGTTTTCACCTTGGGGCTATTCTGAATAAGGCTGTTTATAAGATTTATAACATTTGGGTACAAGTCTCTTTAGGAGATAAATTTTCACTTCTGTGGAATAAATGTCTAAGAATGAAATTAGATGCGAGGTCCATTTTCAGTTTTAAAAGAAACTGCCAAACTATTTTACATTTTAGGTACATCCCCTGGGAATGTATAAGGGGTCCAATTGCTCGGCATCCTCACCAGCCTTTGGCGGTAGCATTATTTTTTTTTAATTTTGGCCATTCTAATGGGTGTGTAGTGATATCTCATTTCATTTCATTTGAATTTCTCTAGTAGCTAATGATAATTTTTTTTAATTTTTTAATGGTTTTCTCCACATTTTTATTGGTGCCTTATAGTTGTACATAATGATGAGATTTATTATTACATATTCATACATGCGTACAACTTGCAAAGTTCTTTTTAAAGGTAAAATATCAGAACTACTTATTATCGTCATTATAACTGGCATGATGTGTCACACACTATTATCCAAAATATGGTCTCTAGCCTGATAATATCACCTGGAAGTTTTTTGAAGATGCAGATTCTCAGGTCTCACTTCCAACGTTTGGTGGTAGAGTCCAGGAATCTCACACTTTGTCTGGATTGTTCCTATGTGGCTAAAGTTTAAGAAGCACTGCTCTAGACTCACCTTGTCCAATATGGTAGCCACCAGGCACATGTGTCTCTTGAGCAGCTGAAATGTAATGAGTCCAAATTGAGATGGCAGTAAGTGTAAAATACACATCAGATTTTGAAGTGTTGGCACCAAGAGCAGAGTATAAAAAAATCTCATTAATAATTTTCACATTGGTTACAAGTGAAAGTGATATATTGGATAGTAGCTTAGATAAAATGTATTACTAAAATTAATGTTACCTGTTTATTTTTACTATTTTAATGTGGATATTAAAAACTTAAAATTATCCATCACCTACCAAAGAAAATTCTAGTTGTCCTTAAATATATGTGCATATAAAAATATATGTATATTTAAATATATACAATATATTAACATATATATTTTTGTACTGGGGTTAAGCCTATGGGTGTTCTACACTGAGCTATATCCCAACCTTTTTTTATTTTGATACAGCGTCTCACTAAGTTTCTCAGGTTGCCCTTGAACTTGTAATCTTCCTGCCTCAGCCTCCCAACTCTTGGGATTACAGGGATGGTAGGCACGTGCCACAGCCATACTTTTTCTTTAAGAATTTTTTTTTAATATTTATTTTTTAGTTTTAGTTGGACACAATACCTTTATTTTGTTTATTTTTATGTGGTGCTGAGGATCAAACCCAGAGCCACGCATGTGTTAGGCATGCACTCTACCGCTGAGCCACGACCCCAGCCCTCAGCCATAATTTAATTTTTAATAATACTATATTTAACAATCATCTTGAAAATTTAACCATTGGTTCTCATAAGCTGGTATAAACCAGCTCCTGCTCACCATGAGTTCACGTATTTTCCCCCTCACAGGTCGGCTTGAAAAACCAAAAATTACACAGAGTTTCATGGCATCTGTGAATAGCACCTGTAATGTCACACTGACATGTTCTGTGGAGAAAGAAGAAAAGAATGTGACATACAGCTGGAGCCCTCTGGGAGAAGAGGGCAGTGTCCTTCAAATCTTCCAGACCCCTCAGGACCGAGAGCTGACGTACACGTGCACCGCCTGGAACCCCGTCAGCAACAGTTCTGACTCCATCTCTGCCCAGCAGCTCTGTGCAGGTAACCAGCTCTGTCTTTGTTCCTGATGGATCTCAGAAATCACTCCGAAGATCTTCAAGGTCTGAACTTGGTCTCACCCCTAGGGGAATGGGCCTCCTTTAGGCTGAACCTGGTCTCTAGGAACATCTCTTCCCAGGAAGCCTCCTGAGAAATTGGCCAAAGCCTTTTTCAAGATGCTAAGCATTCAGGGTGTTCTGAGGCAAACCTGGGCATCTCTGATTCAATTCCTGATTTTTAATAGGAGAAGGTATGGTATGGAGCTTTAGCACTCCTTGGGGGGCACCCAATTTTTTCTTTCTTCTTTTTTTTTTTTCTTTTTGCATTTCTGGGGATTGAACCCAAAGGGGCTCTCCCACTGAGCTACATCCCCAGCCCTTTTTGTTCTTTATTTTGAGATAGGGCCTCTCTCTATTGCTCAGGCTGGCCTCAAACTTGTGATCAGGAGGATCAACCTCCTGAATTGCTGGGGTGACAGGTGTGCACCACCATGCCCAGCTGAGGACACCCAGTTTTGATAGTGGCCCTGAATGTGGACAAGGCTCGTGCGTATTTCCTGAGAGCCCAGACTCACGGAAGCGTCCATTTCCAGACGCTGCGACCGGCTCCCGTCCTCGCCACCCCGGGATGCTGAGCGGGCTGGCTGTGCTCTTCCTGCTGGTTCTCATCCTGCCTTCAGTGTTTCTCCTCCGTCTGTGCAAGAGAAGGCAAGGTAGGATTCTCCCAGACGGTGAAATGTGAAGATGGACCTTCTTCCCTCCAGGAACTGAAGTCATTTACCCAAGGTGGAGTGGAGAGTATCAGGAGCGGGCTCTTCTTCTGCCCAGAGGAGTCCAAGCCATCTTAAAATCTTAACATCTCAAATAATTAACAAATAATAAAACACAGACACCGAGAAATATATTTACAGAGAGCGAAGCTCCTGATAGATCTAGTCCACGTGGGTTTTTGAACTAAACAAAGAGAAAATGGCTTAGGTGGTTTATTTCAGGGGGCACATTAAAGGCAGGGATAAGGTTTCAAGGGCGGAGTCCTGCTTCGTGATGTCTTGCAGTCAGCAGGTTGATTGACATTTTGCAAGTCACACCCATCTCGGGTGCTGAGTGGGCCCACATCAGAGCAGGAAAGATATTCACACTGTCCCTGAGCAATTGATCAGAGGAAATGTCCACTGGCCATTCCCAGACACCAGATGTCTCTATCCACGAGGCTTCCATGCACAGTGACCCACATGCAACCCATGAACGGCTCGTGACAGGAAAGGCCCATTTTTCTAACCTTCCTACAATCCCCACCCCACCACCTCACCACCTCCCAGGATGATGGCCCTGGGGACTGTAGGATGTTACCCTGAGCAGTCCTCAGAATCTGTTCTCGGGATCACCAGTATCTGGTGAGTCCAGGACTTGGGTTTGAGTTCAGCATTGCCAGTAACCAGTCATGCTTCATTGTAATAGTGTGTTCACTTGGGACTCAATGTCCTCACTGGTGAAATGTCTGAACCGCAGAGTCTCCGGGGTCCCTTCCAATATCATCGTATTTTGATAATGACCTTTGGAGAGTCTATGAGGGACATGTACTAAATGGTAAGAAAGAAGGAAGGAAGGAAAGAAAGAGGGAGAGAGGGAGGAAGAAAGGAAGGAGAAATGGAGGAAAGAAGGAGAGGAGAAGGGGAGGGTAGGAGGGAGGGAGGGAGGGATTGAAGGAGGGAGGAAACAAGGGAGGGAGAGAGGGAGGGAGAAAGGAAACCTGATTTTAAGTCCCTAAGAGGGTTTACACTGCCCCATTCCCCTTAACCCCAGGTCCATCTAAGATCTTCCTTTCTCACCAATCACAATAAACAATATGGAACCTCTGTTTCCATGTTTCTAACTCTCCCTTGTTTCTGCTTCCTCAGGTTCTTACTTGACACCCTTCACTAGGAACTCCCAGCCCTATGTTTCCTGAATATCAACTGGGAGGGAGGGAAGTTCACAACATAGTGATTAAGACTAAGTATCTGTTGTGCAGTCAGTCTGAGGGTGAAGTCCCAACTTGATCACATATCAGCTACCAGTTATTTTATCATCGTAAGCTTCAGTTTTCTCAACTGTAAAATATTCATCATCATCATAATAATACAGCTTGCTGCATATGCTTATTAAGTGGAGTATATGAAATGCTTGGCCCGGTACATAGTAAATACTCAGTAAATGTCAGCTACTCTCTTTCTAATTGATGGGTATTGACAGTGTGGGTACAGAGGAGGTATTTTACAGAGGAAGGGAGTTTTTTGACAGGCATCATAACTTAAATACCCTCCTAAAGGGGAGAAATCACAAGCCGCTCAGGTTGTAGGTGATCTGCAAGGTCCCTCAAGAGATATCTGTCTTCGATCCCTCACAACCTCTTGGGGAAAGAGAGGGGCTATTTTTCACATTTACAAATGAGATAAGAGACAGCACTCAGTCTGGGTCCCTCACTAAGTCCGGGGCAGGAGCTGAGACAGGACCAAACTCTGAAATGTTGGAGCTGTGATACTGCTCTCAGCTCAGACCCATTACTGTGGATATGCTGGTGCCCTGGAATAGGAGGAACCCAAAATCTGGCATGCGCATGTAAGCATGCATGTTAGCTCTCTCTCTCTCTCTCTCTCTCTCTCTCTCTCTCTCTCTCTCTCTCTGTCTTATTGAGTAACAGCATGCCTTTATTTTATTTATTTATTTTTATGTGGTGCTAAGGATCCAACCCAGTGCCTCACACGTGCTAGGCAAGTGCTCTGCCACCAAGCTACAGCCCCAGCACTCTTTTCAACTTGGTTCTAAAATATTCTGCTCGTAATGAAGAAAAGGAGTACACTGGGATGTATACCCTTCTAGCTCATAAATTACTAAAAATAGGTACTTATTTCTCCTGAGTTTGATTCCCTGGGAACCTCGCACATAGAAGGAGCTTAGTAAATGTTTCTTAATTCTGTGAATCAGTCAAGCAAGGAACCAAGGTTTGTGGAGCATCTACTATGTGCATAACGTTGAGGTGGCTACAGTAAGGTATGTACCAGAAAAATGCAACACAATGTATATAACCAGAGAGAATCAATGTTGTTAAAAAACTAAGGCCCTGTGCTCGCTTCGGCAGCACATATACTAAAATTGGAAAAGAACATAAGCATGGCCCCTGCACAAGGATGACACACAAATTCGTGAAGCGTTCCATATTTTTAAGAGAGGTAAATAGGGAGCCTACATCCTGGGAACAAATTTTTACTCCTCACACTTCAGATAGAGCCCTAATATCCAGAGTATACAAAGAACTCAAAAAATTAAACAATAAGATAACAAATAACCCAATCAACAAATGGGCCAAGGACCTGAACAGACACTTCTCAGAGGAGGACATACAGTCAATCAACAAGTACATGAAAAAATGCTCACCATCTCTAGCAGTCAGAGAAATGCAAATCAAAACCACCTTAAGATACCATCTCACTCCAGTAAGATTGGCAGCCATTATGAAGTCAAACAACAACAAGTGCTGGAGAGGATGTGGGGAAAAGGGTACACTTGTACATTGCTGGTGGGACTGCAAATTGGTGCGGCCAATTTGGAAAGCAGTATGGAGATTCCTGGGAAAGCTGGGAATGGAACCACCATTTGACCCAGCTATTGCCCTTCTCGGACTATTCCGGGAAGACCTTAAAAGAGCGTACTATAGGGATACTGCTACATCGATGTTCATAGCAGCACAATTCACAATAGCAAGACTGTGGAACCAACCTAAATGCCCTTCAATAGATGAATGGATAAAAAAAATGTGGCATTTATACACAATGGAGTATTACTCAGCACTAAAAAATGACAAAATCATAGAATTTGCAGGGAAATGGATGGCATTAGAGCAGATTATGCTAAGTGAAGCTAGCCAATCCCTAAAAAACAAATGCCAAATGTCTTCTTTGATATAAGGAGAGCAACTAAGAACAGAGCAGGGAGGAAGAGCATGAGAAGAAGATTAACATTAAACAGGGACAAGAGGTGGGAGGGAAAGGGAGAAAGAAGTTGCATGGAAATGGAAGGAGACCCTCATTGTTATACAAAATTACATATAAGAGGATGTGAGGGGAAAGGGAAAAAACAAGGGAGAGAAATGAATTACAGCAGATGGGGTAGAGAGAGAAGGTGGGAGGGGAGGGAAGGGGAGGGGGGATAGTAGAGGATAGGAAAGGCAGCAGAATACAACAGTCACTAGTATGGCAATATGTAAAAACGTGGATGTGTAACCGATGTGATTCTGCAATATGTATACGGGGAAAATGGGAGTTCATAACTCACTTGAATCAAATGTATGAAATATGATATGTCAAGAGCTTTGTAATGTTTTGAACAACCAATAATAAAAAAAAAAAACAAAGGCCCTGAGATGAAAAGTCAGCTAGCCATGCGAGGACATCCCTGCTAATTACAAGAGACACTAAGGAAAACTCTGGGTGGAAGAGCTACCTTTGACTGCTCACACAGGGAGTGAAGAGATCCTCTTTAGCCTACCATGTACTCTAGAGTAGAAGAGAGACCCCACTGAGCTCTGGGTGAGAAGCATGCCTCCCATTCCACATATCATTTTTGGAAAAGGAAAGAGCCCATCCCAAGATCCAAGAATCCATCTCAATAGGATGAAGCCATTTGACCTCGTATGGCTTTATTTCTTCATAATAAAAGAGAACATAGGACTAGATGATCTTTAAAAGCTCATCCACCACTCAGACTGTGGTTCTGTTTATTTGTGACCCAGGTGCTATCTCAAAGAAAACAATATACACGAGCATCACCATTTCAAGAGACCCTCAACCAGCAGAGGCCAGAATCTATGATGAAATCCCTCAGTCCAAGGTGAGCTGCTGATGCTGTCAGGAAATTCCACCTCCACCTCCAGGACAGAGGCCACCGTTGCCCTTGGCTTCTGTTGCCCAGAAAGCAGTCTGGAGGGTCCAACCAGGAAACACCAGGTCAGGGAAAAGATAGCATGAATTCCTCTGTGAGGACAGGGATGTGGTCCACTGTCACCTCCTGGCAGCCTCCAAGGTTTGAAGTCATGAGCATCTGCATGCAGGCCTGGCTCTGAGTTAGATGAGAGCCGGTGGAAAACAAAGACCCGGACTAAGCAAGACTCAGTCTGTCTGAACCGTGCACATCCCTCCTCTTGGCTCCTCCTCCCCTCCCAGTTGCAGACAACACTCCCCTCACCCCACCCGATCCACTGGTCCTCTCCAAAGTTGGATGGAACCAGATCTGAGGCCAGGAGAAGAGACTACCTAGTAAACGTGGGACCGGAGGAGGGGGATGGGTGAGGCAGAATTAGGAAGGGAGATTCACAGAAGGCTCACGGAGGGGACTATGGATGTTGTTTTCCAGGGTACTCCCTTCAGAGAAGAGCCGGTGAACACAATTTATTCCACCGTGCAGTACTGTGAGAAGGTAAATCCTTTTCGGTTTTTGATTCCTGCTTTCCTCTTGGTGGCAGTCATTTTGGTGATCCCCGTACATCAGTAGGTAATTGAAAACCCAAGACTTCGCAAGCCCGTGGGAAGGTTGTTGACAGCATGCTAAATGCCTAGATCACAAGAGACACCAGTAATGAAAAGCCTGCAGTGGCTTCCCCTGTGTACAGCTGAAAGTAGAATTATTGGGATACAGAAAGAACTTGGGCCCAACGAGGAACAAAGAATGCAGCTAGGTTGAGCCCTGGATGTTGTCTCAAGCCTAGAGTCAAAATCAATGCCAGTTTCCCCCATTCCCTCCTACTGCACTTTTCTGAGCAAAGAAATTCCCAGGGGGTCCCAGATGGGGTGGTTGGAGAAGAGGAGAAGAACTTGGCAAAGACAAGGCCCTGCTACCCCAGATTTCTGCAGCACTAGGGAAATGTAAGACACCCCACCTCCTGTGCCATTTGCTGAATTCTCCTGGGTACCACATGGGACTGGAGCTCCCCAGGCACACCTTTCAGTTAACATATACTCACGTTTTCCTCTCGTGCACAGGTGGAGAAAACCGGCACACAGGACAATAGACCTCCCAGGAGACTTCAGCCTATGAAATTGTGATCTAGCTGGCAGATGGCATTCTCCCTGGGAAACTGAGTTGCAGTCACCCATTGTGGCAAGTGCCCTGGATCTAGACCTTCTCTGTACAGCTCTTACTGGGAGATTGCAAATCACCACATCCCAACATGTAAGCCAAGCAGGAAACCTTCTGTTGCTGAGCATGGCTGGTACCAACAGACAAATGGTTACTTGCCCTTTCTGACTGGCTCCCATTTGGATGAATGACAGAGCAGTTTCCCAATCTCCTTCACATCATGGCATGTGCAGAAAATAATGTTTTCTTATGGCACTCTGTGGTTAAACAATCAAAGTTGCTCCTGCACGTGGCTGGAAGATTCTCTTGACTAGAGGTAATAGACCTGTCCAGCAGCTGTGAGAAGGGAATCAATATTTTGCACACCCGTAACATGCCATACACACCAGCAAGAATGCTCTGCTCACACTCTGTATATGCAAGGAACACTGGTACACGGCCCTCACCAGTTCCTAAATCATCTTGAACAAATTAGGAAAGGATACTCTTTCCTTGGGACAGAGGGAGCCCCTCACTCAAGTGCATGGCATGGTACCAGCCCCCACTCGCTCCTTTGCTTGGGGACCTACGTGCAGGGCACAAGCTGTCAGAGTTTTGGCTGTTAGTCATGAAGACACGGTCTCCAAGTGGAGTGTTAGAAATACTCCTTCGGTAGAAACTAGAATGTTGGAGCACTATTCTTTGGGCTCTATTTCAAAAGTCTTACGGGACTTTCTTTCTGGCCAAGTTTTCCTTCGGTGTCCCTCTGAGCAGTGTCAGCAGGAAGGTGACACACCCAGTACGTCTGCTCTCCAACAGAAATTAATCAGCTATGTTTTTTGCTTTTGGTGGAAATGGGTGTAAACCAGCCATTCCAACAAGAAACCTTGAAGGAAGCACAGTCGTTCACTAGAGGAAACTTGGGAGTAATGGTGCAGGTTATGAAATTGGATTTCACCCAGTTCCTTATTCTCAGCTCAGAGGGGCAGGAGGTTCAAGTTGAGGTTGAGAGCCTTGCTCCAGAATCCCCACAAACAGATGGCCAGCTGGCTAGCCATAAGGAGGAATCACCCCCAGCTCAGCTGGACAGTCATGTGATCATAACCTAACTGTCTAAATCTCCCACAGCAAAAAAAATGAGCTGCATTTAGGTAGAATGGAGGTTTTCCATCCCAGTGAATGAATCCATAGAACTTTCTAGCACCGGCTACCATTCTTAGGATGGAGAGGCCCAAAGATGAGCATGATGTCTTGCCTGTGGCCCAGCTGAAGAGAGAAATTCAACACAGACACTACAGTCAAGTCCTAAACTGCAGCTGCAAGCAGTGACATGAACTATAACAGTCAGAAGAGCTAGAGGAGGAGGCCAGGCTGAAGCTGGGCCACAGAGAGAGGCAGAGGGAAGGTGGGAATCAGGCAGATAACTGTGTCTGTGGGGTGCAGTTGGGGCTTCACATAGTCTCACAGTCCCTTGCCTATTCAAAAATGGAGTGCCTCAACCAGAATGCATGCCGCTACCCCTGTCCACGTACATATCCTCCAAAGCCCACCTCAAATGGCACCTGTTCTATGAAGTGTCTCCCGGTATCATCAGCTGAAACTAATCACGGCTCATTTTATTCTGACTCATAGCATACATAATTATTTGGTCTCCTCACTACAGGACACACTACTTAAGGATAAGACCCATGTCTTTTATTCATTGCTTTATTTTTCTCTGTATCCACCACCACCCAACATAATGACTTATACCCTGTGTGCAAGCTGTAAATGCTGTTGGAGAGAATTGAAGTGACCAGCCTGCCGGAACAGAAAAGGTACATGTTGGAAGTAGGGATAGATCAATGCCAATAAGCATAGTGTGTCAGGAGCCGCTCTGGACAGGAGCTATGTATGTGGCCAACCAGCCAGGGGCTGTGTGTGTGAGCTGTGAGCATCCTGAACGCACAAAGCGGACTAGACTGAGATGCTGCTCTGTGTGGGCTGTGCACGTTTGTGTCCCTTTCGTTTGCTCTGCCTTTGATCCCCACCCAGCACTTGAGATGGGCGTGGCCTTCCAAGATGTCAATCAACCTGCTGACAGCAAGACATTAGGAGCTAGACTCAATCCCCTGAAACCTGACCCCTTGCCTCATTTGAATGGCTTTTCCCCAATAAAACTGGGTTTGAGTCGCGCTCTTTCCCTTTCTTGCCTGCCTTGCCTCTGTTGTGGGAGCTGAGTCGGAGTGGCCGCCACGTAACCCAAAGGAAAAAAGTATTTCCCTGTCTGTGCGTCATTATTTCGTGTCAGCCCAGTTCTCCTGGAGTGACCCTGACCGGTTTAGTCCTGTGTCGTGACAATAGTGGAACTAAATTATGGCAAGCATTAAACATTAGGATGCAGTTATAAGCTATTGCCTTTGTGTAAGGGCATTGGAGGAAAACTTTCGGAGTTAGACAGCTAAGAGGTCAGCTGAAACACTGAAGGAGACAGTGCTCTGGGGAAGGGCATGAAGGAAAAAAATTAGGTAACTTGGTTATAAAGGAGGAAGAAGCTGATGAGCAAAGGTGAGTTTCCCCTCGCTCTATAGGGAGATTGAGGGATCATTTCTGAACACCCTTATTTTGGAATCTGCTTCTTCTGCTTCCAGTGTGCTCATTAAGTCAAATTCCTAGTGTCTTGGTGTGAGGAAAGAAAGAAAGGGAGGGAGGGAAGGAGGGAGGGATAAAGAGTAATTGCAAGCAAGAGTTAGTTAGATATTCCAAAAAAAAGCAAACCTGGGATGGATCCAGTGCATAGGAATTTTTAAGGTAGCCTTTGAGCTCATAACCATTCTTTCCTATGAATATTATGATTTATGAAAATGTAACTCCCTCCACAGAACTCAGTCCTCAAATTATGCTGTAAAATGAGTGTGATTTTTTTCCCAGATAGGGTCTCACTCAATTGCCTTAGGCTGATTTTGAACTTGTGATCCTCATGTCTCAGCCTCCTAAATGAAATAAATGTGATCTTATTTCCCCTTCGTGGATTTCCAGAAGAGCTACAATGTGACCAACATGTCTATAAAATTACAATATCGTTTCAAGGGAACAGGGATTTACTAGCAGACCGAAATGTGCCAGTTTTTTGAAAATACCATCAAAATTGAAATCTTGGGGCAGCGCTCTCTAGTGGAAAGTACTGGTAAAGCAGGACGGTCCCTCTGCCTGCAAACACTGACTGGGCTTCTGATGTTACATCTCACGCTTCCCAGAAGAAAATGAAGCTGGTTTAAAATATTATTTTTTAAAAGAAGTCAACAGAACACTCTACACTACACTATCCAAAAGAGAAGAGCTTCAGTAGGCCACCTTGGAAATTGTGTAAGTAGGAAGGAGCCCAACTGGGTTGGGCTGTGTCAAGAGAAAGCAGGTCTTAGGTTCCACCTTAAGAGAAGAAATTGCTGGATTGTATTTTCTTTCAGATCAATTCCTTTTCTTCTATTTGACTTTCCCCTGAATTTCCCCTGATTTGTATAATTTTCTCAAGAAAACTAGTGACTGTATCCAGTGTGTAAAATAAAGTTTGGAAAACAAAGACACCAAGAGAAAGCATATTAATCAGTTGTCAGAAACATGGGCTCTGACAGTGGAGTGCCTGGGTCTGAAGTCCTTTAACTCCGATGTATTTTGTTGTATGCCGTCCATGCCTCCTGTTACTACCATACCACCCTCTAATTACCCAATATCATACCTGTCTTGCCAAGGAGGCTGAGAGAACAGGGGCTCTGTCCAATAATAATGGAAATGGAATACTCATTGAGGACCTGAAGCTTGAGGGTTTACTTTGTATCCCAACTGCTCTGCTAGAAGCTTTGTCCTTAATTATCAGTACAACAGTCCTGTAAAAGAGAAATTAATTCTTCTAGTTTGCATCAAGGCTGTGGAGGAATGCCTTAACAAAGTCAGGAAGCCAAGGGGAAGGGATTTGACTGCAAGACTCGGTGCATTTAACTCTCCCTTTACCTGCTGTGGATCCCCACAGAAGAAGAAAATGAAGCTGGCTTAAAATATTATTGTTTTAAAAGAAATCAACAGAACACTCTAAACTGTCCAAAAGAGAAGAGCTTGAGTAGGTTACCTTGGAAAGAGCATAAGTAGGAAGGAGCCCTGGTGCTTGGCCTCAGGTATAAGACACAGATACCAGGTAGATCACACATACCTGCTGAATGAACATTTGCATGTACTAATATTTTAAAGTGTCTAAAAACAGCTCAAAGTAAATATATTCACATAGCAATTCCATTGTTATCTGGATGCCACTCAAGATTTCTGTTGAAAATGCCCATTATATTAAAGAAGTTTGGATGGAGCTCTTTGTCTGCATCTGCACAGAGCTGTTTTCATAGCCAGAAAGGCATCTGGGTCATGTGTTCTGATGAGTTGTTACAAAATGAAAGGAACAATGTAAATTTCCATTCTTTACTAATAGCATAAGAATAACAGGAAAAGGTTAGACATTGGGTAATTGCACTGTACTATTTAGCTGTACTAAAGTAATAAATAGTTGTGTGCACATAGATTTGAATGAGCACTCACTCAAGTATGAGGAACTGTTGTGGGTATTTTTGTTTGTTATTGATGTTTTTTAGTACTGGGGGTTGAACTCAGGGCCTCGTGCATGCTAGGCAAGTGCTCTACCACTGAGCCACATTCCCAGCCCTTTTTATCTTATAGATAGGGTCTTGTAAAGTTGTGCAGGGTGTCCTTGATCTTGCCATCCTCCTGCCTCAACCTCCCCAGTAGCTGGCATTACAGGTGTGCACCACGATCCTGGGTCTCTTACGGTTGTTCAAAACATATTAAAATGTTAAAACACTTGGACAAAAGACCATTAATAAAAGTATAGAACTCAGATTGGAAGAAGCAAAGCACTAGACATTCTCTGGAGACTTTCAGACTTTGAGAAATTGACTTTGAAAAAATAATAAATGGATAATAATTATTAACTCTTGCTGGTTAGTGGTCCAGGAAATCAGTTCTGAACAGCCATACTTAAGTCTCTGGGTTTGAGCAGGATCTATCTACTCTGTGACCTGAAATTAGTCATATCTTTACAAACGAGAATTGAGATTTTTCTTATGAGGTCTTGGTGAAGGTAAACAATTATATAAGTGATCATCAGAGAATTTTTTAAATGTTTATAAATCTTAAATCTTTTGTTTACAACCTATATTTCCAACTGTTCATGGGTCATCTCACCAGACATTAGAAGTCACCTCAAATTCAGTGTGTTCAAAATGGAACTCAAAGGTGTGTCTATGACCTCCGCAACTTGCTTTTTTTTGGCTCCCCTGTGCTAGTTAATGATCCACTGTAAACATAATAACTAACACTTATCGAGGGCATACTATGTACCATTCCCTGGGCTGTTTTACATGTACTTATTTAAAGCTCTTAAGAAACATTAAAACTCATCTACCTTCTGAAGTAGATACGATCTACTTCAGATTAAGAAACTAAGTCACAAAAAGACTAAGAACTCATCTAATAGTCAAACTTTTCTTTCTTCCTGTCCCTCCAATTCCCCTCTACATTGAAGTAGTTATTGGGTCCTATCAACTCCAACTCCTCCATGTGGCCCCTCTCAACAATGTCCCTTCAACCTGCCGAATTCTCTAGAACACGAACCCTCTGCCTGTCCACTCTCTTCATCGTGTGTTACCTAGGCTGCTATCACATAAAGAGCAACCTTTCTAATACATAGATCTTAGTACTTCGTGTCCCTCCTAGAAAGTTCTCCCTGTGGGATGAGACTCCTCAGCAATCTGACTGATCAGATCCTCCTCTCTTTCTGCTCCCTAGGCTTTAGCCACACAGAATTATCATGAATCCATGAATCTACCAAATCATTTCTACCTCCCATACTTTTGCCCATGTCATGTCCTCTGCCTGGAAGGCTCTTCTCTCTCTTTTGTCCCTGGCTCTTTCTTACTTCAGGGTCAGGCCAAGCACCACCTCTTCCTTCCAAATCCTTCCACCCAAAGCTACCTACATAGCTCTCTGTACTGCTACAGCATGTGGTCCTAAATGCGCTTATCACACCATATAGTAACTATACATATTACACAGGCACTCTACCACTGAGCTACATCCCCAGCCCTTTCCATTTTCAATTTTGAGATCGAATCTGGCTAAGTTACCCAGGTTGGCCTTGAACTTGTGATCCCCCTGCCTCAGCTTCTTGAGTGGCTGGGATTATAGGCGTGCACCACCACACACCTAGGCTAGCTGTGATATTTTCTGAGCTGTCCATCATGTGGTCATATGTTTTAGGTCAGGGAACTTTCTTCTCCTTTTTTGAGTCCCCAGAACTTAATGAATCCCAAATCCTTCTCAAAATGTTGGTTGTATCAGTTCATTAATATGAACATGAAGATCATGCTCACTGGTGACAAATGCCGCTCAACCTTTCAGGAGCTGGGTGTCATGCTTGTAAGTGGGATTTCTAATCCTCTCCATGTATCAACAATTTATTTCCCAAATTTGTAAGTTTCCATTAATAAAGTATTGTCCACATATCTTAATTTGTAAGTGCCTAAGGAACGGGACCACAGACTCCGTCTCAGTGGGTAAACACAATAAACGTGGTTTGATAATGCATCTATTCTTTTTGTCCTACTTGGTTTTCAAGAAAAGAAGAAACGAAGTAAGTGACTGAAACAGCAAAGGAGGTCTTCAAGATGATACCAGCCCCGTGCAGTCTGCAAGCCCAGGCCCTCGGGAGACACAAAGAGACCAAGGGATTGAGGGAGAAAGACAAAGAATGGGGCAAAAGATGGCGGAGGTGAGCAAGATGAGTGGAACCCTGGGAGGAGACTGAGAAGCCGGAGGCAGGGAGTACCCAAACCAGAAAGAGCAAGGGACCAGAGCACAGCAGAGGCATTGGGCTAGGAGTGAGGGAAGTTCTGCCCTGGGCCAGCCTAGAGAGAAGGAGACTGGGCACTTAAGTCCTGAGTGTCAGAGGCATGTCATGCAGGAGCTTTGACTATCTCACCTTCCACTCACAGCACCCACACGGGGGCGAATGCCTAGTGGAGCTTAATAAACCCGTGTTGAACTGAATTTGGATTAGTGCCCAGACATTAGGAAAGGAAAAGGGTTTCCAGAAACCACCCTTAGAGTCTGAGCCTAGGGAAGTGGAGCGTTGTCACCCCTAGTTCCACT